AAGGAAAGGAAAGGAAAGGAAAGGAAAGGAAAGGAAAGGAAAGGAAAGGAAAAGAAAGGAAAGGAAAGGAAAGGAAAGGAAACAGATTTAGTTATATTTCCTTTTGCTTTAATTCCTTTGCCTTACTATTTTTTAGTCCTTTTCTGCACTTTACACAACACTGCTTCCCCAGAAAAGGAACAGTGTGATGGCTATGACCTGTATATATTGATGCATGTATGTGTTATTAGTATTAATATATTAGTATTATATTAGTATTAATGATAACATAGATTGGGAAGTGCCAACATTATTGAGTTTGATCTCTATCTAAAGGCATATAGAACATATTAAAAAAATTAAACTTTTTTCTTCTGATTTTAAAAAAAATAATTAAACAAGGGAAAAATTACTCAATTATATACGGCAGGTGATTTAGATAAATGAGCGTGCAGATAAGCTGTTGCTTTTTCTTTTCCTTCCAGATCCATCCTAACTCTTTAAAAATGTGTTGCTATACTTAAGTACTTAAGGCAGGTTCTTTTTTCACCATAAATAAGCCATCTGGGGTTTTAAAAAATTAAAACGAGAAGTATATATGTATTTAATGACTCCGTACCTTCTCTTGATGGTCGTTTGTCTATGTTCTACAAGACTATTTCTCAAAGTTAATTAACATTCCAGTAAAATTGGACCCATTAAGTTGCGCTGTGTTTGTGCACATGGGATTCTAAGGATTTGTGCGATGCATACATCTGTGTGTGAGACAGAGCTCAGAGTATTTCAGTTGTATCAGGTGTTGAATGTAGTCATCTGAGAAAGGTATGAAGAAGGGTCATCACTGCACATTAATTACAGAGGCTGAATGATTTTTAGATGACTTGCTTGCAGGCAGAGAAACTTCTTTTTTCTTATCTTTTGATTTCTAATCTCTGAATTTATTTGGGGAATTAGGGAAATTTGTGCTTCCTTCTAAAATGCAAAAAGAAACAACTCTCGTGCCTTTCTGTTTTATAGAAAATTGTGCTCAATGTATCGACTGAATCTTTTGATTCAGGAAATTGGTTACTATAACTTACTGTGTAGATGCAGAAACGTACGAAGAGTGTGTCTTTGCAGAAACACAGGAAAAAGTCTGCCCAAGTTTTGTATTATTCCCTGTGGCTCAGACTATGGAACCAAATTGAGCATCTGATCTAAGATAGTCATATAGTTAAACTATCCCAAAACAAGGAAACAGGATCCAGAAATATATATTTTATGTCAGTAAGGAGTACACACAAGCATGTATATGGAATAGAAGTTTGGGGAACAAGACTGGGTGCTCTCTTATATCTATTATATAGGAAATAGTAACTACGGTGTCTACCAGATGCTTGGGACATCTACAGGGTGAGTCAAAATCTGCAAAATGGTGGGTGCCATCCAGATTGACATCAGCCCTTCATGGTAAGCCAAGTCAAGAAACAAACCCTGCAGAGATTTCAGAAATGCTACTTAATTGCTGTACGGTATAATAACAGAATTGTGAAAGCCAGTCCAAATTTCTTTCTGTCTCCTCTTAAACTTAATAAAATCAAGGTGGGATTGTTCTGAATGTTTTTCACACTTCCTTCCATCTCTGGGCTGCATAATCACTTCCCCAAGTCTCTTCTTAACACCTCTTTCATACCTTCCCCAAGGTCAGCAATAAATTCCTTTACACAGATTTGACACCCCTTGGTAGGTACCACTGTAGATTCTGCTATCTGTATTTAGACAATTTTCATCACTGGAAACCTGAACCAATAGGAATCCTACTGGTGAAGATCTTGAGCACATACAGTCAACAGTCTGTGGTCTCTCAAGATTAGACAGCATATTACAAGCTTATTGAACCCAGGATATCTGTTCATCTGTTATAAACCTAGAGAGAATTCTTCTAATAACCCTCCTAGGATAGCTACCTCAGACTGCTTAGAAAACAGTTTGTTCGAAGCTAATTATGCATCCATATGTTGATATTTGATTGCAAACCAGTTAGTTTCCCCTTCTTTTCAGCCCCACCACTGTTCTTGTTCTCATTCAGCTAAGAATTGCTATCTTTCTGGTTTTTTGCAGGATCATCCATAAAGATGGCTTCACTGATCAGGAATGTCAAGAGTATAAATCAGTGATTTACAGCAACGTACTACAGTCCATTCTGATGATTGTAAAGGCTATGTCCACACTAGGAATTGAATATGAGAACTCCCAAAGCAAAGTGAGTATGAGACCTGTCATAACTGAGAACTCCTTCACATTTTGGGTACTTTTTCATTGGAGAACATCGGATTCAAATCCTTAACATCATATCTGCTCACATTCTCATCTTTCACAACAGCAACGTCATCTATTTAGCTCATGCCCATTCTATTTCAATCAGCACCAGGCAGGAAACAAAAAAAATCTTGGCATTTTTTTTCTCCACCTCACCTCCTTCAGCTGGAAAGAAGAATTTGCTTTAGAATTCTTTTTCTAAGGAGAAAAGAGTTTCAGAGAAATTCTCATGGGAATAAGCAAGGGAGTAATGTTTTCTTCCACTTATTTGGCTACAAAGTAGCCAATGAACAAGGTCAAACATCCTGTTTTTCACTGGAATTCTTCCCAATGACAGAAGCAGCCACAGGTTGAGAGGCTGTCATCAAAGTGACCAAACCAGCATTGTACTGTTTTGGCCCCACCTCCACCCCTTTTGTACACGCATGTGACATGCAAAAAGGCAGAGCTTGCATATCATGGTGTAATGGTGTTTTCATCATCTACCTTGATGCCCTCTGAAGATGCCAGTAGTATGAAATAGAATACTACTTCTATTTTTCCCACAGCCAAAATTCTGCAGGACCAGGAGATGGTGGGTGGTGGTCCTCCCTTAGGCATAGAACTGGCTGTGTCACCTGCAGTTTTTAACATTTAATCAAGTACCTGTTGGGAGAAGTGGTTTTTAGGTCAGCACCTTAACCATTAGACCATTGCACTTATCTGGTAAGTGCCAAAAATAAAATGATTAGCAGTCATAAAAAACCAACATGCAGTGTCATACTTTCTGATCATGCACTGTAACAGGGCCATATGTGTTGCAATTGGTTTTATGTCCTCTATAGATTCAGTGTCTCTGTGATATTCGATTATCTAAAAGACTATAATAGCAATTTGAGGAGGAATTCAAGGTTCTCAATATCTCTCCCATCTATTTTAGATTAGCAATAAGCATTGGTGGGGCTGGGCTTCAGATGGTGAGTTGGGAAGACCTTTGGATTTGCAAACCTGAATCTTTCTCCTCCTGGTCACTTATTTAGACAGAAATCTAGATCTCAAAATCTTGACTAATGTGTGCCCTGATAGAAATCTCTGAACTTTCTGTCCTTGTGACAGAAGATGAAGAAACCTAAACATATCAGTCTTCCAGTCAAGGGAATACAGAGAGGAATCAACAAGAGAATCAAGGAGGAATTCCTTTTCATCAATAGAGAAAATTATGCAAAGAGTCAGTGCTTCTGGACACGATTTCCAACACTCCAAGCTTTCTCCCATAAGTGAGGAACACCTGAAATCCTCACAAAGCACCTTAACTGGCTAGAAGGGACAGATGTTGTAATCAAGCACATCTTGAGGGTGCCAAGTGGAGAAAGGCAGCAGAAGTGGGATGTACACAGATACTTAAGGATTTGCTCTCTGTTTTTTTTTTCATCTAGCACTCTGCATTCATCTATCACTCTATCGCTCTGTGTTTTATGAGACTCTTAACCTTGGGTCATATGCTTTGGCCTTGTTTCTACAGATACGCGTATATAGAGCACTTACTCTTTGATTCTGTTCCTGGTAAGTGCTAGGCTTTGCCTATCCTTACAATGTATTTCCTGTAAATAAACCTAGTTTTAATACATGCTTCACTAACCCTTGCTCAGACCATAGGCATGGTCTCTCTCATATTCACAAAGTACTTCAAAATATTTATTATAGTATAAATCTGTCTGTCCAATAAGAAGGGTGTCTGGATGGATCACAAACCATTAAAAATTAAAATAATAAAAGATACTTTATTATATTATTATATATTTTGTTTGTTTCTTTTGTTATTCATTCATTAATTAATTCATTAATTCATTGCAATATTTCTGTACAACTCCAGTACTCATGTCTAAAGGTGGTTTAAGCATCATCTTGAAACTCTGAACATCCAACTGACTGCTCCCTTTGGAACCCAATGAAGAACAGATTCATGTTCAGTTATTTAATTTCAGGAGGATGAAAAGCAGCTTTATGCAATGGCAGATGCCACAGAGGACGGTTCCATGTCTCCTGAACTGGCTGTGATCATCAAGCGTCTGTGGAAGGACCCAGGGATCCAGGGCTGTTTTGAAAGAGCATCAGAGTATCAACTCAGTGACTCTGCTCCTTAGTAAGTGGCATGTTTGTGACTGAATACAGTTGCCTAGATGAATGCAGGCTATATACCTGGTACATATTATTTCGGTAGCATACAATTACTTAATTCATTAATTAAAATACATACAACACTAAACATGTAGCATTGATAAGGATGTCCTTTAGGAGCAAAACTTCAGTTTAGCTGTGGACACCAACAGGGCTTCAGGAGGGAGGGGTGTCAAAAAGTCAAGATGGTGGCCATAATTGTGCAGTTGAAACCCCACCCCTTTAATGTGCATAAACACATGTTTTAAAAGGGCAGGCTTTGATCACACAGCTGGGGCTGCCATCTTGACTTTTTAACATAAACACAACCAGAGATGCCTCTGGACACCAAGGATAAAATGCTAGGTCTTCATCTATTGCTAAAAGACAGAGAATATGGACATCAGCCTGGTCTCCAGAGAAGATCACTACAAAACGGAGGTGCCACAAAGCTGAAGGTCCTTCCCCGGATCCTTACCTCTCCCTGCTGTGGGATGCTGAAGAGCATTCAACCAAACACACATTGGGAGAAGTGCAGCTTCAGGTACTGGGATCCTAAACCATGAAAGGTCTTAAACGTCACAACTAAAATTTGAAGTCTGATTGGCAGTCTACACAGACTGCCAATCTAAGGCTTTAGACCAATGTTAAGATCTGAATAATGTTCCAGAATTTGTGCAGGGACAGAGAAAGAGAAGAAGGAGCTGCTCAGCTATAAGCAGAAAGCCCTTTTCAGGGGATAGACACTATTTCTGCTTAAGAATGTCCTGCTCTGGATTTTCTGACTGCAGTGGGCCTATTCAATGACTTGCTGGTCCTTCGGTTCCTCAGGTGTAAACTGCAAATAGTACAGATGTAAAGTACTTCGCAAATGTTATGCACCTGAACATCTACACAGTATGTTTCCATATTTCCATATGGAAATATGGCTTTTTGTCATCTGGAACTATTTAATTGCAAGACATTTTGCTTTCTGTTCTCCTAAATATATTCTCTGCAAAGACAGGCCTAGCCACTGTGTTAGCAGAATCTGCTCTTCCTTTCATGCAGATAGTTTTCCTTCTGCAAAATGTTGATAAATAGGCTATATTCTCTCTCTCTCTCTAATGCAGCTACCTCAATGATTTGGACAGACTAACAGCTCCTGGCTATACCCCTAATGAGCAAGATGTCCTTCGCTCCCGCGTGAAAACAACAGGGATCATTGAGACACAGTTTTCTTTCAAGGACTTGCACTTTCGGTACCAAATCAGTTCTTTCATTCTAGTTCTCTTTCTAAATCTCATATACTAAATATATATGGATTCAAATAAAAGCAGGGGTGTCAGCAGGACTGGGGTCAAAAAAGTCAAGCTGGTGGTCACAACTATCCATACATGTAGAAAAGGGGTGGGGCTTTGATCTCAGGGTTGTGACTAGCATCTTGAATTTTTGACAGACCTCTCATGAATGCCCCTAACTAAAAGCCAAAGCAATTTTGGGGTCTAAAATCTTGAAATGGTTTGAAAATTAATGGAAAGCATTGGCAGGACTATGAAATTCTTCTCACAAGGTTGTCTTTCTGGAAGCCACGTATATTGTAAGGTTTACCCCGTTCGACTCAGAGAAACTCTTGTGACATGTGTGTTCAGCAAAGAAGTTTACTCAAGCGTAACATACGTAATTACAGACAAAGCCAGGACTGGCTGGGCACATCTTACAGCACAATTTATAGTCCCCCCGTTCCCACGCGTTGCTCCATTGCTTGGTTACAAATTACCCGCAGTAATCCCCCCCTTCACCTAAATGCCAGATTCAGTCCAGTTCTTTTGTTTCTTGATTGCTTTACCCCGATGGCGTGGTCGTTGTCTTCGTTGGGTCTTTCTGTTGCGCACAAAACCGGGGGTTCTCAATCGCGCGCTGATTGCTTTGCCCCGAGCCGCTGCTCACTCCTTTGCCTGCAGCGCTCAAGGCAAATTGGTGTTGACACAAAGTATCCGCTTGTGGTTTAGCAAAGTGGTCCCAGCTGGCCCATTAATCAGTTCACTGTTTCTCACTTCCCCTCTTCCCTTTACTGGCGCTCAGGTGGTGAAACTGACTAAGCGCGGCTGGGCAAGTCCCTAGCCGTGCCGCCCTGGCTGAATCTGACATATATAATCTTTGCTACTCTGTAGTATCTGTTTTCCAGAAGACCAAGGTACATTTTTGTTGAAAACCTGAACAGCAAAAATAGCATACTGGCAGCATATGGCAAATTGCTTCGGTTTGCAAACTCATGAAAACCTATGATATCAGCTGTAAATGTTTACTAAACCAAAGATATTTCATAAGGTAATGCTCCAAATTTCAGTCTCGTGTGGATATTTTGAACAAAGCTACTGACCGTAAATATACCGAGCTATAACAAATTCCACCACAATGGAAGGCATCGAAAGAAAATCAAATTCAGAAAATGTACACACCCTTGTGTTAGAAGCATCAAATTATCCAGATACTGAGCTTTAACATGTTCTCTCTTTCTCTTTTTTTCAAAAAGGGTCTTTTTAAATGTTAAGACGTTTTGAAGGCTCCTTGTAGCTGATAGAGACAGACAGCTTGACACCATGATAATGGTGTTACACTGGCACCTGGGAGTGCCAGTTTGGTGGTGGAGATAAAATGAGAGGTGTGATTGCTTTGAACACCTTCTTGAGCTCCTGAAGGAAAGGCAGGATATAAATTTACTGGATAATTAATTAGTCTCACAGCTATTCTTTGGCAGATTTTTATGTGTCATAAAAATATTCAGTATCATTTGATCTCATTCCCTTTGGATTAATGCCCTGGATGAATCTATTGCACTGTATGAATGCAGCGATGTGCAACATGTACTAACCACTCCATCGCTAAATATAATGTTCTTTTGCTAATCTCAACAATCAGGAATAAGTTGTTGCAGTTATAAAGCCACTGAGGCAAATGGTGTGCATATTTACTGCAGGGTTTGGCATCCTGCAGATCCAGGACTCGTAGTATCTCGAACCCATTTCTGTAAAAACAGTTGTTGAAAATCTGTAGCACTACAGCATCTCACACTTGTTTGAGAAAATTGTATCCTTGATTGGACACATTCCATTTCATGTGATTTCAGCTTAGTTTCTTCCAAAATTGACTCTATTGATTTATACAGATATGATTTTTTTTAAAAAAATTGGTATAATACACAAGTAGAGAAATGCTTATTGTATTATGTTATCATACTAACTTCAGAACTTTTCTTTTCCTTCCTTCCTTCCTTCCTTCCTTCCTTCCTTCCTTCCTTCCTTCCTTCCTTCCTTCCTTCCTTCCTTCCTTCCTTCTTTCTTTCTTTC